CCACTTCCGGTTTTCTGGTGGTTTATTGGAGATAGGAGTCTCACGGTCTCTCCTGCCCGGGCTGGCTTTGAACCGCGATCCTCAGATCTCAGCCTCCTGGGTAGCTAGGATTACAGGCGTGAGCCACCAGTGCCCGGCTATTGTGTATTCTTTATATGCGTGATGACTGATTAACTTTTCACTCTCTGTATATATGTTATTTCTTATCATTGATTATATATAATTTTTCCGTATTTTGGAACAAAAATAGTACTAAACAATCCTTTATCTTTGATTACAAGTTCTAGAAATCAAAATTGATGTCTTTAAAAACAAAAAAATATAAACTACTTTCTTTGTTGGTAAGTCCTTATTTCCTCAACCCTGAGCAATACTAGAGTCCTCATTTATATTTTTTCCTGATTTAAGAACCTGACATCTTTGTACAAATTTTTTTCCTGGAAACCAATTAGTCTCTATCCAGATTTTTCTTTCCAGATTCTGTAGTCAGCTCTTGGCGTTATCTGCCAAGTACAGTATGGATTACAAACCCTTACAGTTGCCCTGTATAAAAACACTTAACTTCAAGCCAGGCATCAATGGCTCGCACCTGTAATCCTTGCTACTAAGGAGGCTGAGATCTGAGTTCAAAGCCAGGCAGCAGTTCAAAGCCAGTCCAGATAGGAAACTATGAGACTCTTATCTCCAAGAAACCACTTAGAAAACCGAAAGTGGAGCTGTGGCTCAGTGGTAGAGCACTTGCCTTGAGCTGAAGAGCTGAGGGATGACGCCCAGGCCCAGAGTTCAAGCCCCACAACTGACCAAAAAAAAAAAAAGGACTTGCTTATGACAAGGAAGTCTCATTAACATAGCAACATTTTAGAGCTTTGAAATTTTAGCAACACAGCAAGGGATTCGATATCTATGTTTACTGAAGAAACACAGTTTGAAATAAAGCTTATTTGCTCTCCATTGCCTAAGATTTTATTCCTTAGATAATTGGCTCTTGTTTTTTGGGGGGGCTGGTCCACTTGAGCCATAGCGCCACTTCTGGCTTTTTTCTTTTTGCTTATGTGGTGCTGAGGATTCGAACCTAGGGCCTCATGCATGCAAGGCAAGCACTCTACCACTTAGCCACCTTCCCAGCCCCTGGTACTGTGTTTTTATTGTGTCAGCCAAATCCTTCTGCTATGTGACTTTTTAGGAGATCATCAATGAGTGGGATGAGCAAGAACGCATAGCTCAAGAGAAGGCAGAGCAGGAAACCAGCTTATACCGATTCCGGAGGAGCTCTCACGCAACTTTGAGTGAGGAGGAAGAGGAGGAACAGGAGTTCAGAAAATGTTTCCCACTACATGAAAAGGTAGGGTAGTGGTAGGAATATTTTCTTGGATTGAAATTCTTTCAATGTCATGTTTTCTCTGCATGTCTTTATCGTCCTTTAATTTGTTTGTCTTTATCTTTTTGATATCTCACGCTTGTGATTTTTACAGTCTTACTGTTCTGATTCTATCTACAGGACTTTGAAGATATTTTGGAAAAATCAACATTAGAGGAGAACAAAGGAACCTCAGCTGGGCAAGAAGAGAAGGCAGTCACAGACTTAGCTCTCCTCTCTCAGAGTTCAATGCAGATGGTGATGCTGATCCACCAGCAGTTGTGCCTCAACTTTGCTCGGTCCCTGTGGTACCAACAGACTGCACCACCACATGAAGCAAAGCACTATCTCAGCCTGTTTCTGTCTTGCTATCAGACTGGAGCATCTCTTGTGACACATTTCTACCCTCTAATGGGTATGGCAGTTTATTTGTGTTACATATTTAGGAAATCAAAATGAGAAGATCCGATTGCTACTCTGGAATGATTAAAATAATGAATTCCTATGTTCACTTAATTCTTTCTTGACATGTTGGTGTTTTTCTTTGTTTAAGCTTAATGAATTTATGCATTTTAAAATTTAAAATTCCACAGTAAGGTAGATTTTCATTATTATTGAGTACTTGGCTTATATGATTCTTGTCTTTCTATATGCTTTTCTAAAAAAACTCAAGTAATTTTGTGTGTGATGGAGGAATGGGGTCAAACTCAGTGCCTTACACATAGTAGGAATGCACTTTACCCCTGAGCAATAGTCCCAGTCCTGAAATTAACGTATTTTTGCTAGGCACCGATGCTGCAATTTGATTGTGGTTTAAAAACCAGCCAAGGCAGGAAACTCTGTGAAACCCTTATCTATTTTAAAAACAGCTAGAAATGGAGGTGTGACTCAAGTGGTAGAACATTAGCCTTGAGCAAAAAAGCTCAGTGACAGTGCTCAGGTCCTGAATTCATGCCTCAGAACTAGCACATGCACAGGCACTCACCCATGCACACACATGTAGTGTATTCTTGAGAGCAGCTTAGGGACTTAGAAATTAAGGTTACAGACTGGGTGCCGGTTGGTCACACTTGTAATCCTAGCTACTCAGAAGGATCGCAGTTCAGAGCCAGCCCTGGCAGGAAAGTCTGTAAGACCCTGTTCTCCAATTAACCACCAGAAAACCAGAAGTAGGCAGTGGCTTAAGTGGTAGAGCCACTCCCCTTGAGCTGAAGATCTTGGGGATAGTGCCCAGTCCCAGAGTTCAAGCCCTACAACTAACAAAAAAAAGAAAAGAAATTAATCTCACAGAATCTGTTTACTAATGATAAAGTTTCCCGTATGGCTTAACCTATAATATGCATTAACCTATAATAGTAGGAAAGAGCTTTAAGTTTCCTTTTTGTTTGTTCATAGCAATTAAAAAAGCCAGTAATTTGAATGCATCAAATCCAGTGTTCTGCCAGGCAATGGCTTATACCTGTAATCCTAGCTACTCAGGAGGCTGAGATCTAAGGATTGCAGTTCAAGTCCAGTCCAGGCAGGAAAGGCCTTGAGACTCTTATCTCCAGTTAACCACCAGAAAACCAGAAGTGGCACTGTGGCTTAAAGTGGTAGAGTGCTAGCTTTGATCAAAAAAAGTTTAAGACAGTGTTGGGCCCTGAGTTCAAGCCCCACAACCAATAACAACCAAAAAGAATCCAGTGCCCATCCTGTGTTTGTTGCTTATACACAGACATACCTGAGGGGCTGGGGGTTTAGCCCAGCGGAAGGGCGCCTGCCCGGCCCGTGCAAGGCCCCAGGTTTGGTCCTCAGCTCTGGGAGGGGGGGGGGGAAGCTACAAAAGACCAAAAAAAACAAGGCAACGGCAGAGACATACCTGAATTAAGCTACTTCCATCCTAGAATATAGGGTCATTATGGTATTAGAGTCATTGGTTTCTTTTTTTTTTTTTTAAAGAGTCATTGGTTTCTATATCAGTATTACTTTGGGGAAGAATAACTGAAATAGCTTCTTTATTAGTTCCAATTTATTCATTGTTCTGAAATCTTTGTAAGTTGGAAAATTCCCTGAATTCACCAACTTGATCTTGTTAATTTTACAGGAGTTGAACTGAATGATAACCTCTTAGGGAGCCAACTTTTGGCCTGTACCCTCTCCTATAACACCCTATTTGGAGAAGCAATTTCAGACCTTACAGTGAAGACTGATGGACCCTATGATTTCTACCAGCACCCCAATGTGGCAGAGGCAAGGCAGTGTCAACCTGTGCTTCAAGGCTTCTCAGAGGCTGTCAGTCATTTGCTACAGGATTGGCCGGAGCACCCGGTACTTGAGCAGGTAGGGCAGCCAGTTAGAGTTCTGCACTTCACACTATGTCCAGTGACATTGACTTGTGCATTTATTCATACATAGAAACAAAGGATTACAAAAGAGATACTCCAAGCCAACTTCAGGATGAACCTACCTGTTTGCATTGCTCCTATATAAGTAATATTTAGGAATTCCATTGATGTTTTATTTTGTTTTGTTGGCCGTGGGGCTTGAACTCTGGGCCTGGGCACTGTCCCTCAGCTCTTCAGCTCAAGGCGAGCGCTCTACCACTTGAGCTACAGCGCCACTTCCGGTTTTCTGGTGGTTTATTGGAGATAGGAGTCTCACGGTCTCTCCTGCCCGGGCAGGCTTTGAACCGCGATCCTCAGATCTCAGCTTCCTGAGTAGCTAGGATTACAGGCGTGAGCCACCAGCGCCCGGCTCCATTAATGTTATTTGTTAAGAGTTACCATATTACCATGTTGCTAATTTTTCTGTTTATTCATACACATAGTCCTAATATTAAAGGCCCCATGATTTTCTTAAATGCTCTAGAAACAGACCTTGGTTATTTAGTATTGACAGTTTCAATTTCAACATTTCTCTGGTCTTCACCTAATTTTATATTTTTTAATGCCTTTTAGGTGCCAAATTACAAAAATGTTTATTCATAAACAGTTTATGAACTATTTTGATAGTTTATCGACAGTTTTGAGTTCGTATTTTCCAGTAGAGTTCTTTTGTGGAAGTATTTATGTAGTAGGACCCACCATCCTGGGAATTTGTTTCCAGTTTGTGTATATATGTGCATATGTGTCCATGTGCATATGCATTTGAACACAGGTGCACTATTACACATACACTAATGCTGGGTTTTGAAATCACTGTCTTGCACTTGATTTGCTTGCTTGCGTAGCACTCGTACCACTTGAGCCATGCTTCTAGCTCAGCAATTTTCGGCTCATTGGAGATGGAGTCTCTCAGATATTCCTTATCAAATCACAGTCTTCCAGATCTTAGCCTTCTTAGTAAGTAGGATCACAAGGGTGAGCCACTATCACCAAGCTTTTAAATAGTTTTTAGTGACACTTTCAAAGGAGAGAGTAACATTGGGACCTTCTTTAATACCCTTGTAACTTTGAGTCAGCGATTTTTTTGCTAAAAATAATCCCCCCTTTTTTTTTCTTTCTGGTAGCTACTGGTTGTAATGGACAGAATTCGTAGTTTCCCGCTCTCCAGTCCTATCTCAAAGCTCCTGAATGGCTTAGAGATCCTTCTGGCAAAGGCACAGGTAAGATTATTCCGTCTTTTCCTTATTTTATTTTGTAGTAAATTATAGTTTGATTTGGGGAATTTAAACATTCTTGTTTTTCTTCTGTTGGTGAGACCAATGCAAGTTAAACTACTGACCCTAGGATCGAGATAAGCCAAGTCATCTCATTTTGAGGATAGGACATGGTATCCACATCCCAGCAGACCTTCCACTGACTGACTTTGATCTTCCACAATCCCTATTCAACCTTGGAGGTGGCTGCTTCCTGCCTCTTTGTTTGACAGAAGGTGGCCACATGACTTCAGGGATAGCTAAAGGCATGATTTTAGGCCCCAATCTAAAAACACCCTGTACTTTTGTCTACCTCTAATATTAGCTCTACTGGACTATGTCATATGGCCAGAAAGAACTTAAAGCCAGATAATGTAGGATGTAAACTTATTGCTAAAGGTAAAATATGCTAAAAGTCCTAGTAATCTTCTCTCAAAGACCTAGATGTTACTGGGGAAGGGAGGAAGTAATTAAGGAGTTGAATAATGCCCTTAGTAATGTTTTTATAGGATTGGGAGGAGAATGCAAGTCGTACTTTGTCTTTGCGGAAGCATCTGGATTTAATCAGCCAGATGATTATTCGGTGGCGTAAGCTGGAGCTGAAGTAAGTAACTCATTTGAGATTCTCTGGGCTTATCTAATATCACAGTTACACTATATGCTTTTTAGCCCAGAGTTTAAAGCAGGGCATTGAAATGCTATTAATACAAGCCATGCATTTAAAAGTAACAGACTGAGCAGCCATTCTTTTTCCATTTGTGGGGCTATTCAGTATTTAATGTGAGTCTTTGTCTTAATGTATCTATGACCTCTTCATTTTTGTTTTCAGTTGCTGGTCTATGAGTTTGGACAATACTATGAAGCGCCATACTGAGAAATCCACAAAGCATTGGTTCTCCATTTATCAGATGCTTGAGAAGCACATGCAGGAACGAATAGAGGAGCAGGAAGGTAATGCACGTGACTTGTCTAGAGAACCAATCATAGGAAGTTTTGTTCTTCTGTGTCCATGAGATTATCAAAATAAAGATTGCCTTGATATAGGTAGTTAACATGCTTGAGTTAAAAGTGTTGCTCAGCTGGTACAAGTGGCTCAGGCCTATAATCCTAGCTACTTAAGATGTTGAAATCAGAGGATCATAGCTCAAAGCCACTCCAGGCAGGACAGTCCATGAGACTCTTATCTCCAATTAACCATCAAAAAGGCATAAGTGGAGCAGCCTTGAGGACAAAAAAAATAAGGAATTGCATCCAGGCTCTGAGTTCAAGCCCTAGTACCTTTCACAATTTGTTGGTGCCTTTAACACATACCTTGTACAGAGCTGATACTTATAAGTTAGTCACCATTAGCTGTGATCCTTGCTTTAAAGCTTCACTTTAGTTGTGATCTCTACCTAAAGGCCATCCCATCCCCTGGTGTATATTAAGGATAGGACCTGATGGTTGAAGACACTTAGCCTTTTATTTTGATCTCTACAGATGACAAGCAGATGACTCTAATGTTGTTGGTTAATACACTGCAAGCATTTATTGAAGGATCCTCACTGGGTGAATTCCACGTGCGACTTCAGATGTTACTGGTGTTCCATTGTCATGTCTTGCTGATGCCACAAGTTGAAGGAAAAGGTGAGGATTTTTTTCTTTCCTTTTCCTTTGAACTGTTCAAATACATTAGGTTTTGAATTCTCCACAGGAGCCAGATACATTGTTACAGGCTTAAAATCTGGACACTGTGTCATCTTTAACAGTGTTATCCATGTTAGATGTAGAAAAGAATATTCAAAGTAAATTAGCACAGATCTAGTGAAAAAAGTTGCCAAATGAAGCTCCCAGAACTGGTATGGCAAGGTAGCACATCTACCTAGATATTGTATATTTCCTGCAAAAGCTACTGTTTGATCCAGGTCATTTATGTTCTTAGATCATGCCATATAGAAACTGCATATAAACTGCTTTAGTTAGTTACCAACCCTGAATATATCAGGTTTGGGATAAAATTTTAAGCATAAAATGAGTGTAGATTGTGCATTAATGAACAATTTGAGGTAAACCTTTTAATAGACAACATTTTATTAGTTTGGTCAGTTGTGGGGCTTGAACTCAGTCTGGGTGCTATCTCTGAGCTTTTTTTGATCAAGGCTAGCACTCTACCACTTTGAGCCACAGCTCCACTTCTGGTTTAATGGTGGTAAATTGGAGATGAGTCTCACAGACTTTCTGCCTGGGCTGACTTTAAATGGAGATCCTCAAATTTCAGCCTCCTGAATAGCTAGGATTGCAGCCATGAGCCACCAGCACCCAGCATACCTCCCTTGAAATGGATTCGGGTCTGTTGATTTTACAGGCCTTAGAAAGTTTGAAAGTAGTGATTTTTAGTAGAACTCATATCAGATATGATCTAAGATAATAGAAAAGCAAGAAAAAAAATACAAGACAAAATAAACAGAATAGTGTTAACAATCTGCATCTCTAGGAACTGCTAAGAGAAGTTCCCTAAATATCTGCCTGTGAAAAATGTGTTGGAATCTCATTGTATACAGAAATGAGGAAGGTTCATCACTGAAGTGTGAAGTCCGCAGGTGGTACATGCAGCAAGTGTGGTGTTTTGTTTCCTTTTCATTTCTTCCAGATTCACTTTGCAGTGTTCTATGGAATTTGTACCATTATTACAAGCAATTCTTTGACCGAGTCCAGGACAAAATTGTGGAACTTCGTTCCCCCCTAGAAAAAGAACTTAAAGTAAGATGGAACAGCTGTCACGATCACCCTTGGAGAACATAATCAGCAAATTCTTTGTCTCTAGATCTATTTTTCTGTCTGTTTAATAGTGAGGCAGGGGTAAAGGGCATAGAAGCAAGTATTTCAACAGTCAGGTAGGATGACAAGATTTACATTTGGTCATGTTTCTTCCTGTTGGTGAACTGACCAAGCATATAAGGTGTCAGTGGAGTGGTTCCTATGAAGTTCCTTGGAAGATTGCCACAGCCATCTGTTGATATTCACCTGGTCTTGCCCACACTTTTTTTCATCCACCTCAGAAGTGTGTTTTGTTTGGGTCCCTGAACCATTGATTGGGGTGATAGGAAGGAGGGCCTTTCTTTTCCTATTCAGTGAAAAGTATTGTTATGGACCCAGTCCTGGTGTGAGAGACATGACTGATTGCTTTCTAAGCTGGGGTGCATATCAGATACACTAAGGATTGTGGTAGCACTCTAGGATTTCTTTAAGACAAATTCATGCTTCCTCTTGTACTTGTTCCTCAACACATAGTCCTGTGTTTGGGATGGAATGGGCTCTCAGGTCTATGGCTAACAGACAATCTTAAGAAACAACAGAATGACATTAGCTTTAAAAGGCCATCTTTTGGGCTTTGTTTATTTTTCAGGAGTTTGTTAAGATATCGAAGTGGAATGATGTCAACTTCTGGTCTATTAAACAATCGGTGGAAAAGACACATAGGTAATTCATGTTTTTAAAGCCAAACACACCAAAACTTAAAATTCTATTTGGTAGGCAAAAGGACTACATTATTAATCTATCTAATACAAATACCTTGACCTTCTACAAAAGCAACTAAATTGTTTTGATGTTGTTACCCTAAAACACCACCTACTACTAGGTAGAGCAAAATTTCCCTGAGGAAAGAATGAGTGTAAGCTGGGCACCGTTGGCTCACGCCTGTAATCCTAGCTACTCAGGAAGCTGAGATCTGAGGATTGTGGTTCAAAGCCAGCCCAGACAGAAAAGTTCACTAAGAATAAGCCAGAAGTGGCGCTATGGTTGGAGGTAGAGTGCTATAGCCTTGAGCACAAAGAGGTTTATGGACCATACACAGGTCCTGAGTTGAAGCCCCGTGATTGGCAAAAAATGAAAAGAAAAAGTACATCTTGGGACAAAATACACTGTGTGGCCTAGAGGGGCTGTTTTTCTGCTGCCTACTAGCTATTTATCATGAGAAAGCAACTCCACCATTCTTTCAGTTTCAGTTGTAAAAAAAAGAAAAGAAAAAAGAAAAAGCAGTAAATATCTGTCATATTGTCTATGTGTGTATTATATATGTACATATGTCCACATGCATATGTGTGTACACATATGTCCTAACTTTCAAATCCATTTTGCCCTTCTTGATACCTGGGGACAGAACCCTCTTTAAATTCATGAAGAAATTTGAAGCTATCCTGAGTGAACCTTGCCAGTCTTGCCTGGTGGAAAGTGACAAGGAGGAACAACCTGACTTTTTGCCCAGGCCAACAGATGAAGTCACAAGTGAACTGTCTTGCATTCAGAGTCTGAACCAGGCACTGAAGGAGACCCTATTGGCTCGGTCAACCACTGGGCAGGTACTAGCTGGTGGGACAGTGTGTGCTTAATCTATACCATTTTTAAGAGGTGTCCTGAGATTTAGACAACAAAGTTCCTTTGAAATGTTGTTTTTTAGATTTGTATACTACCTGTTTTTAATTGGCCTTACTGTACAGTTAACCAGCTTGTTAAGTTTGTTAGTCTCAGTCTATGAGAGACAACTGCTTATCTGTAAACATTGCATGTACTTAGAAGAATTGCATCAGTTTTCAAATGTGCTATTAAAACTGTCTCTGGGCTGCTATATCAGGTGACTACCACACGGAGGTGACTTCAGTATTTGCTACTGACTAGGGTACATACTTGGTTCCAGGACTGTTTTTCAAATTGATTACGCAGGTTGCTATAGGATGGCTGTTCCTGTTGCCATCTCAGGGGACTGAGATCTGAATATCAAGGTTTAAAGCCAGAAAAGTCAGTGATACTCCTCTTCTTTTGTGGGTCCTAGGGCTTGAACTCTGGGGCTGGGAACTGTCCCTCAGCTCTTCATCTCAAAGTGAACACTCCAGCACTTGAGTCACTTCTGGTTTTCTGGTGGTTTATTGGAGATGAGTCTCGTGGACTTTTCCTGGCTTTGAGCTGCAGTCCTCAAATCTCAGGCTCCTGAGTAGCTAGGATTACAGGCATTAGCCACCAGCACCCGCAAGACTCCGATTTCCAATAAATTACTCAGGAAAGCCTGGAAATGGCACTGTGGCTCAATTGGTAGAGTACTAGCCTTGAGCCCAAAGAGGCTCAAAGACAGTTCCCAGGCCCTGAGTTCAAGCCCCAGGACCAGGAGGGAAAAAAGTATATAATGGAAGCTGAGTATGGGGTGGGGTGCCTGTAATTCTAGTTACTTGGAAAATGGAGAGTAAGGTATTCTGGTCTAAGCCAATTGGTAGACAACCAATGGCTGGTTGTGGTAGCATAGTCCTGTGAGCTTTGCTAGAAAGCATAAATTGGAGAAGGGTAACCTACTAGGCATAAAACAAAATCTTAACCCAAAAAGAGTTGGCAGAGTGGCTTAACAATAACTGTGGAGATGCCACATACCTGCCAAATTTCTATAGATTGTCATTTCACTGTTTCTGTCATTAAGGTCAAAATTTTTGGTTTGGTAGTGATTACATTGAAATTTCACAGAATCTTTTCAGGGTTGGGGGAATGGTGGAAATATACCTAATGGATAACACCTTTCCCTTCATCAGTATCTGAATTCCAGACATTAGAACTGTTATAAGGGTGGATAGTGGGGTTAGGTGGTAGTAGAAATAAGATTTGGTGGGGAACACATTCATTATTCTTACTAAGGCTTAGGCTCAAGGCCTTGCACTCATTTGCCTTCCTTTTTTGTCTGGGGAATGTGCCTTTAACACTATAAGAGCAGAAATTATTTATTCTACTGTGTTTATAGGACAAAACCTGAATCTCTTCAGGGCTTTCTGGGTGAGGAGTCTCTCTTATTTTCATGTAAAGAAAGCAATAATACAGAAAGTGAAGGCATGACACAGGTGGTAGAGCTCCAGCCTTAAAAAAAAAATCAAGCAAAAGAATAAGATTCTAAGTTCATTTTTGGCATAAATAAAAGACAGGAATATAATTTTTTTATTGTGAAATTACCGTACAGAGGGCTTACAATTACATAGGCAAGATAATGAGTAATTATCAAGCGAGGAATATGTTTTTTTAAATATCCATTGTATATACATCAATTTTACTGTAGTGTTACATTTGTTCTCATGGGGTTTCTAAGATAGCAGTCAAAACTGCTACTGTCATTGTTGGCAGTGAGTCTAACCTCCATTCTGTCCCATAGGCCACAGTTCCAGAGCATTGTCAGAATACTGGTCTTTTCTCCGTGGAAGGGGAGCTTCTGCGTCGCTTGCCAAAGCTCTTGAAACGAATGAGAAAGATGTGTCTGACATTCATGAGGGAGAGTCCCCTGCCTAACCTAGTAGAAGGCCTCGATCAATTCACTGGTGGGTGCCAGTAGCCAGGGTCATGTGTGGGATTTGCTGTGTTTTCCCCAATGGCCCAGGATGGCTAGAAATGAGTGGCTGTGTCTTTTCTTGATATATTATATAGTGTTCAACAATTCGCTTAAGAAATAAGTGAGCTAAAAGTCATTAGAGCTCAAACATAACAAGCACTGAAAGCATCCAGTACTCATTTCCTCTTGTTTTTGCCTCATTTGCCTCATGTAAAACTAGAAAGGTTAGGTTAGGTCATTAAGTTTTTTTTGAGATCTCAATATGCTGACAGGCTGGTTGAGCTCTTGGGTGTTAGGTTAGGTCATTAAGTTTCTTTTGAGATCTCACTATGCTGCCCGGCTGGTTGAGCTCTTGGGCTCAAGTGATTCTCCTGCCTTAGCATCCTGAATAGCTGAAAATACTAAATATACTACTAAGCCTGGCCTGGCCATTTTCTATGATATCCTTGTCATTATCTGTTCTTGTTGGCTGGCAGCATAAGTAAATGAGCACAGAGGTTGACATCCCAGGCTCTACACTGGCTCCATCTTTCAGAATGTTTCTCTTGTATAAAAGGAAAGGGAAGTCCTCTTGCTTTCTTTACTTCAGAGAGGTATAGCAGTTTTCTGTGTCTGTACTTGCTCAGGATGAGGGATGAGAGCCAACATCTGCTCAGTAGTGTTAACAGATTGGTGACTGAGAATGGAAGGTAGACCCTAATATTAAAATGAATTGAGCCTTTGGCAGCCTTGTCTTTCTCATCACTGTCTACCTCCAACCCTGTGAGCATAATGGGACAGGACAGATGCAGTCCTTGTCAGGAAGCCCTTTGTTTTTTATAGTAGGATATTGCCTATCCCTTAGCCTAAGGACAGGGGTTAGTGGGAACCACATGCAAAATGTTGAGTTCTGTGACATAGAGGAGCTTCTCTGCTAGCCCTCTCGCCATGTCAGTGTGAAGAGTGTGGTCACCTGTCCTAGTCTGTGGACTGCTTCTATTTGTCTGCTAGGGGCTGCCTGACAACATACCACAGACTAGGTAGTTTAACCAACAGAATTTACTGTGTTGCAATTCCAGAAGCTAAACAGTACAGCGACAACACATAGATAGGACTGATGTCTTCTCAGGCCTTACTTTGGCTTACATATGTTCCTGTTTGCCCACTTGATTAGTCTTCCATCTTTGTGGTCTTAAAGGAAGACAGACAATGGATTACTTTACCTATAAAGGCCTTGTATCCAATATAGTCATATTCTGAAGTACTGGGGTTAGGACTTTAGCAACAGAAGGATTTTGTGGCAGGACAAAGAGCCCACAACTACTCCCATGGTGGCACCCGTGGCAGATGGGCAATCCCCTTTATATTTTAGGTGCCTGTGCTATTCGTGATGTTGCATGTGCCTATAAGAAGAATTAGGGTTTTAGTGTCCAGTAGACTAGGGCTAAAGTCCTATTTTAGTCATGTTAGAAAGTGGTAAGACATCTCTGAGCCTCACAGTGTAAAGGGGAGCTTCAGATAAGTGCTTCTGAAGTTGTGCAGATTAAAAGAGTGTTTAGCAAATACTAGCTACTGTGTAGGATGTTAATACATACTGTATTTGACAGAAATTTGTTAGGCAATAAAAAGTTTAGTATAAAATACTTCACGTATTTGGTGTTCAGTAGCATTGGGTGCACATACTAAGCATCTACATATGGAATGTTTTCTAAATGCTAGGGTCCATGTTCAGGACTGAGATGGAGTGGCTCATAGTTTCTGATTCTGATGACACCAAAGGTCCTTGTTATTGTGTTGTTTTCCCTATAGGTGAAGTGATTGCCTCTGTAAATGCGCTGCAAAGCTTAAAGGTGGATCACTCTGCAGAGAGGGAGAAGCAGCACTCAGAAGCCAAGCACATTCTCATGCAGAAGCAGCGAGCTCTATCAGACCTCTTTAAACACCTTGCAAAAACTGGTAAGTCTTCCTAAAACTGAAATATAATGACCACCTCTGGAGAAAAAATAGCTGTTGACTTGGATGTAAATTATAGAAATGGTGAGAAAACAAAGCAGCGGGCAAGTTCTTTCTAAGAATTTTAGTGAGGTGAAGGAAAATTCTGCCATGAACTGTTGGTTGATTACCAAGTATTTTTAGGGTTTTTGGTTGCTGTTGTTTGCGGTTTTGTTCTGGTTCAGGAGTTGAAACTTAGCCTTGCATATATTAGGCAAGTTTAGTACCAAAAAACTTAAGCCCTCTCACCCCAGTTAGAATGGCTATAATCAAGAAATCTACAGATGCTGGAGGGGATGTGGTCAAAAGGGAACCCTACTGGGTGGGAGTGTAAACTTGTTCATCCACTCTGAAAAGCACTATGGAGGTTCCTCAAAAGACTACAAATAGAGCTCCCATAGGACCCAGCAATCCCACTTTTGGGCATTTACCCAAATGTTCAGAAACAAGGCCATAATATTTTATCACAGCATTATTTACCATAGCTAAGATATGGAACCAACTCAGATGTACCTCAGTGGATCAAGAAAATGTAGTGTGTGTGTGTGTGTGTGTGTGTGTGTGTGTGTGTGTGTGTGTGTG